TGTCTTTTTCACTTTTATAACCATATCTTTTGAAGAGCAGTACTTTTTAATTTTGATTGTCAATTTATTGATTGTCTTTTTTTTTTAATAGTTTTCTTTTTGTGTCCTACCAAGAAATGTTTACCGATTTATTCTGTGTTTAGATTTGTGATCCATTCTGAGTTAAATTTTCTATATGTTTGCATGGAAAGGGTCAATGTTTATTTTTTTCAGCATATGACTCTTAAGTTGTTTGTTCTAACACCATTTGCTCAAAAAATTATCTTTCTCTTATTGGCACCTTTTGGAAGGCAGCTGTTCTCGCCAGTGTACCACCAGTGCCACATTGTTGGCACCTTTTTTCTAAAAAAAAAATGTGTGTGTCATTTTGGGGCTCTCTTTAGTTTCACTGATATTTTTGCTTATCTTTATTCTAATAGCATAATAGCCTAATTACTGTAGCTTTCATAGTAAGCCTTGAAGTCAGGTAGGGTAGCTATTCCAGCTTTGTTCCTTTTTTTCAAAATTGGCTTGCTATTCTAGTTCTTTTACGTTCTCACATAAATTTTAGAATCAGAGTTTCAGAAAATCTTCAGAAAATCTTACTGGGATTTTGAGTGGTGTTGCATTGAATGTATAGATCAGTTTGGTGAGAATTGACATCATACTAGTATTGAGTCTTCCAATCCATGAACACAATTTATCTCTCCATTTATTTAAGTTTTCTTTAATTTCTCTTAGTAATGTTTTGTAGTCTTCACTGTACAAGTCTTACAAATCTTTTGTCAGATATATCCCCAAGTATTTCCTATTTTTTGATGCTACTGTAAATATATATATTTTTTAAAGATTTTATTTATTTGACAGACAGAGATCACAGGTAGGCAGAGAGAGGGGAAGGGAAGCAGGCTCCCTGCTGAGCAGAGAGCCCGATGCTGGGCTCCATCCCAGGACCCTGGGATCCATGACCTGAGCCGAAGGCAGAGGCTTTAACCCACTGGACCACCCAGGCGCCCCTACTATAAATATTTTTTTAAAGTTTGGTTTCTAATTAGTTGTTGCTGGTATATAGAAGTTGATTTATGTATATCGACTTTGTTCCTGTGGCCCTGCTAAATACACTTATTGGTTCTAGTAGACTTATCTGTAAATTCCATATTATCTGTATTGCCAATCATATCACCTGTGGATAAAGATAGTTTTATATTCTTCCTTTCTAATATTTTCCCCTTTTTTTCATTTTTCTTGCTTACTTGCATTGCTAGGATTTCTAGTACGATGTTGAATAGAGGTGATGAGATCAGACATTCTTTCCTTGTTCTTGATCATTGCCATTAAGAAGCCTTTCACCACTAAATATGTTAGCTGTAGGTTTTTCATATGTGCCTTTTATTAATTTGAGGAAGTCCCCTTCTATTCCTGGATTCTTGAGAAATTTTGTCCGGAATGGATATTGTATTTGGTTAAATGCTTTTTTGTATCTGTTGAGATGGTCATATAGTTTCTGTTTTAGTTTGTTAACATGGTAAATTATAGTCATTGTCTTTAAGTGTTAAATCAATCTTGCAATTCCAAAATAAATCCCAATTAGTTATGATATGTTGTCCTTTTTATATGTTATTATATATCAGTTACATACTAAGAATTTTTGCATCTGTATTCATGATGGATATTGAGGGTTCCCTTATTTCCATATGCTTACCAACACTTGTTCTTATCTTTTTGATATTAGCCATTCTGACTTGTGTGAGGTGATAGCTCATTATGATTTTGATTTGCATTTCCCTGATGATGAGTGATGTTGAGCATCTTTCCATGTGCTTGTTGGCCATCTGTGTATTATCTTTGGAAAAATGTCAACCCAGGTTGTCTGCCAATTTTAAACCAGATTGTTTGTTTTATGTATGAATTCTTTTCTTTTTTTTTTTTTAGTTTTTTTTTTTTTTTAATTTATTTGAGAGAGAGTGAGAGCAAGAGCAAGAGACATCACAAAGGGAGAGAGAAAGGGAGACGCAGACTTCCCACTGAGTGGGGAGCCTGATGTGGGGCTTGATCCCAGAACCCTGAGATCATCACTTGAGTGGAAGGCAGATGCTTAACCAACTAAACCGTCTAGGTGCCCTGTGTATGATATCTTTATGTATTTTAGGTATTAACCCCTTATCAGATATATCATTTGCAAATATCTTCTTCTAGTCAGTATGTTGCCTTTTCATTTTATTGATGGTTTCTTTCACCATGCAAAAGCTTTTTAATTTCATGTAGTCACAATTGTTTATTTTTCTTTTATTTCCCTTGCCTGGGGAGGTAGATTCAGAAAAACACTAAGGCCAATGTCCAAGAGTTTACTCTCTGTGTATTCTTTTAGGATATTTATGGTTTCAGGTGTCACATTTAGGTCTTTAATCTATTTCGAATTTGTTTTTGTGTATGGTGTAGGAAAGTGGTCCCGTTTAATTCTTTTGCATGTAGCTATCCAGTTTCCCCAACAATATGTATTGAAGAGACTGTGTTTTTCTCTGCTGTATATTCTTATAGATTAATGGAACATGAGTTTGTTTCTGGGTTCTTTATTCTGTTCCATTGATCTGTGTGTATGTTTTTCTGCTAGCACCATAATATTTGATTACTATAGCTTGGTAGTATAGTTTGAAATCTGGGATTGTGATGCCTCCAATTTTGTTCTTTTGCAAGATTGCTTTGGATCTTTGGGGACTTTTGTGGTTCCACACAAATTTTAGGATTGTTTGTCCTAATTCTGTGATAAATGCTATTAATTAGTTTTATGAATTTTTACAAACACATACAGTTGGATCTTATACCACAGTCTATACTCATGACAGTTCTAGTAACCCAAAGAATACCCTTATTTTACTCCTTTGTTAGTACCCTTCCATCTATCCCTGACCACTAGAAATTTCCGATTTATTTTTTTATCCCTTTAGTTTTCTTTTCTTGAGTGTCATATAAATGGAATCATATAGCTTCTAGCCTTTTGAATATGATTTATTTTACTTAGGTAAATCCATTGAGATTCATCTATGTGTTGTATGTATTAATAGTTGTTCCTTTTTATTATTGAGTAGTATTCAATTGCATGGATGTACAATAGTTTATTTCTTCAAGGATGTTTGGATTGTTTCCAGGTTTTGGCAGTTAATAATGGAGTTGCTATAAATGTTTGGATACAGAGTTTGGTGTAAATCTAAGTTTTTTTTTTTCTTGGGCAAGTGCCTAGGAATGGGATTGCTAAGTTTTATATAAGTATAGCTTTAACTTTATAGTATATGGGAGGTTTTTAACTGTAGATTCTATTTCTTTTATTCTGTTTAGGTTATTGATTTCTTACTGAGTGAGTTTTGGTAGTTTTTGTGTTTCAAAGAATTAACCCATCTTGCTTGTTGAATGTATAGGCATAAAATTATTCCTCAGTTCCCCTGATTATTCTTTTTAATATTTGTAGAATCTGTGGTTTTGTCATCTCTCTCCTTCTTGGTATTTAAAGTTTTTTTTTTTGTTTTGTTTTGTTTTGTTTTGTTTTGTTTTTAGAGTTGGGAGGAGGGACAGAGGGAGAGAGAGAGAAAGAGAGAGAGAGAACCTCAGGTAGGCCCCACACCCAGCATGGAGCCCAATGTGAGACTTGATTTCACAACCCTGGGCCAAAATCGAGTCAGACACTTAACTGATTGAGCCACCCAGGTGCCCCTAAAGTTTGTGTTTTAATATTTTTTTCTTGATCATTTTGGCAGGAGGTTTATCAACTTTATTGATCTTCTGAAAGAACTGGCTTATGGTTTCGTTGAGTTTTGTTTACTGATTTTCTGTTTTCTGTTTAGCTGGCTTCCGAGCATCTTTATTATTTCCTCTCTTATGCTTAATTTGAATTTAATACTTTGGATTTAACATATTACAGAAAATGATTTTTTTCTCTCGAAGTAAATTGTCATATTTTTAAATCCTGTAGTACTCAACCCAGGTGTGGTGTGTGTGTATGTGGGTGTGTGTGGTGTTGGTGTTTAGTATTTAGTAGCAAGATTTCAGAGAAAATGAAATTGATACTGTTTTTAATGAGAAGGATACAGTATTTTTTTGTTTTGTTTTGAATATTGATATATATATATTTAAGGATTTCACTTATTTATTTGACAGAGAGAAATAGTGAGAGCAGGAACACAAGCAGGGGGAGTGGGAGAAGGAGAAGCAGGCTTCCTGAAGTGCAGGGAGCCTGACACGGGGCTCAATCCCAGGACACTGGGATCATGACCTGAGCCGAAGGCAGTTAACAACTGAGCTACCCAGGCGCCCCTAAATATTGATTTTTGTGCCTGTTCATCTGACATCTGTTTCAAACCTTAAATGTAGAGTACCTATAAATTATCGCAGTACTCAGAATTTCCCTGACAAGCCCAGTGAAATTTCCCACACATAGAACTACTAAAGTTTAATATGTGGCATTATTTAAGTGGGGCAAAATATTGTCATAAGGAATAAAATTTTGTTCTTTTCTCCAGTCTTAATAGTCATTGAACGTAAAGGACTATATAATGTTTACTCGAATTAATAATATAAAACATTTAAATCCCTACGTCTTCCCAAATGAGAAACCTCTAGCTAAGATATAAGGCAGTTCTGGAGTTATTTTTACTTGAGGTGTTTTGATATGTTAAAGTAAGAAATTCCTGCAGTAAATGAAGTAGAATTTGTGTTACTCTTTTAGGTTGTTTTTCAAAGCTTGAATTAAAATCAAGGAAATAAATTGCTCTATTGTTTGAGCACTCTATTTAAATGGTAATGCAGATTTTATTTTTCTCTGTAATTAGAAATAATTTTAATTTTTAGACAGATGAAATTGACTTGAAAGTTTCAGTTTCTTTTTAAATGCTTATTTTTTATGTAGTCTTCAGTAAGAAGTATAGGTGTTATTAGAATTGAGTACTGGTAGAAGGATGTGTTACTTATCAACCTATATATAATTTTTTGTTTACTTTTCTAGTTGTTTAATGTTACATTTTATCTTTCAGATCCTATTTGACCAAACTCAGAGATCAATTAAAGCACAGCTTCAGAACTTTGTTAAAGAGTAAGTCAATAGCAGTAAAGAGAAAGAAAAGCAACCCATTAATGATCACATCTGGGAGTTGGTGTTATCTTTTGGGAGGGATTTTATGGACTGTGATTTACTGAAAATACTAGAGTTTTTGGTTTTTTGCTTTGTAAAATGTATATTGCATTTCCTCATGAATACTCCATAAGGGAATCAGACTTCATGCCTTTCAGTGAATCATTTATACTGTGAAATTTGTATTCAGGATACATAGCTAGGATTGTTATAGATTAAAAAATAAAATAAATAATGACCATTCAAAATCAAAGCAGGCCTCAAAGTGGTTGAAATACTATTAGTATAGTTGAGGCTAAATTTTCCATTGTCTCAATATGGTATTTTCTTTGAAAAGAAGATAATGGAATATATGAGAATGAATCGTGAAAGTGCATGTTTTTTGCTACATGTGAGTCTTTTGTGTCACATTCGTCCCATTTTATATGTGAAATAAAATTAAACTGGAAATAAAAACGTGAACTTTCCAGGTAAGGAACAGTTTCCTTTCCCACATAAATAATTCAGTTTTTCTCTTTTAATTATTGACAGAATATATAAAATTACAGATAAAGTTGTTTATGCTACAGTATTCAGGATAAATTAATAGATGTTATAAGCTATAAAAAAGTGGCACGTCTCATGAATATAATGCACTGCCGTTTAGTGTTTTAGAATTCATTGTCCTGTTAGTGATGTCTCACAGATTCTTTCCAAATAATAGACTAATGTTCAGAATGTCCTTATAGAATGTATGCATGAAAATTTATGGCTTCTTACAAAGACTTCAAATAAAGTCTTTCTCCGGTCTACTTTGTTATTATTTTAAAATCGTTTGTCTTCAAATCATTTTGCCTAGTTCTCTGATATAATAAAGTGCTTATCAAAGCTCATTAATGGAGTCAAGTGTTTCAGATTTTCAGAATACTGAAATGGAAACCATTACCCTTTATGGGTATACAGTTCTTTTTACCAAAGATTGTATATGTGTGTGTTAGAAGGATATATTCATGTCCTTTGGCATAGTAATTTCCCTCAACAAGAAACGAGTGATATTTCTTTCTTTCTTTTTTTTTTTTTTAAGATTTTATTTATTTATTTGACAGAGATCACAGGTAGGCAGAGAGGCAGGCGGAGAGAGGAGGAAGCATGCTCCCTGCTGAGCAGAGAGCCCGGTGCGGGGCTCGATCCCAGGACCCTGAGATCATGACCTGAGCCGAAGGCAGAGGCTTTAACCCACTGAGCCACCCAGGCGCCCCATGAGTGATATTTCTTAAAAGTGTGGTTTGTATTTCACCCATAGTAGGATTTATGGAAGTTTTACTCTTTTTATTTTTTAGAGATCTTAGAAAATTTAAAGATGCCAAGAAGCAATTTGAGAAAGTCAGTGAAGAAAAAGAAAATGCACTAGTAAAAAATGCTCAAGTACAAAGAAACAAACAGCATGAAGTTGAAGAAGCCACGAACATTCTGACAGCAACAAGAAAATGTTTTCGACACATAGCCCTCGACTACGTACTTCAGGTATATTTGTTATATGTTTTCAGAAAATGCTAACTAAACATGTCGTTACTTTTCAATGATTGCACTGTAAAGAACTAATACTGTTTTCTTGAGTCTAAAATTGAACAATGTTGTTGTGAAGACTTTTCACTTGAGTGTGTATCTGTGTATGCACATAAAAATATGTGTATACCTTTGGTTTTGGTTCCTTCCCCTTTTCACTTAACGTGATACTTTCCCCCATTTTTAAATGTTGTAAAAAACATTTTTAATTGCTTTATTTTATTCTGTGGAGTTGCTGTGTTAATTAATACTACTTATCAGACAGTGTTGCCATTTTTTACTGGCAATAGTGAAAATACAGTATTCAGTAATGCTAAATGATAACAACATCTTTGTATATAAATCTTTTGCCATATTTCTGATTATTTCTTTAGAGTAGATTCTTAGATGTATTAAGGCATACCATGTTACCAAATGAAAAATATTTCTAGAAGCGGTGTTCTTATATTTGCATTACATTCTCTTTTTTAAAACTAGAGATCAGTATTTGGTAAGTTGCCTGGTGATCTTCTGGTTCTATGTGTAATTGAAATCAGTTTGAATGTGATATGTCTCCAGAGGGACTCGAGAGACATGAAAAGTGAAGGCAAATCATACATTATTTCATATATACTTGATGTATTCCTACATATCATGAGTTGAAAGCTTTAAAGCTTAAGAAATTAGTTTGTCTGAATCTCCTTTTACAAAACAGCAGTGAAGTCCCCAGAGATTGCTGACTAGCAATCACAGATCATTTCTTCAGAAAAATGCACAAGTAACTGTGTACAAATTAGTGATTAAAAACTACTTAGATAACTTTGCAAAACAGTAGAAAGTGACTTTTTTTTAAAGTTTCTATTCACTAAGTGGGAAGTTAGAAAATGAAGTGCATTCCACTTATTAGTGAGAATCTTCTAGAATGGAATTGTATGTATTTCCTATCTTCTATTAACTATCTCCCATTTACTGTACTTCCTGTGGTGGTACGAGTATTATCTTCCTATCCCATTCCACTGAAATGGCTCATGCTAAGGCTTACTCATTAGATACAGTTTAATTCTTAACCAACTTGACTATTGTCTTTCATTGAGATGGTGGACCACAACTGTCTTTTTTTGAAATATACTTTTGTCTTGATTTATCTTAAACCACTTTTACATTGCATTAACTTCTATTTAGCTTCTATTTATTAACTTCTATTACTTTGCATTTCTTTTCACTTTCACCTTGGGCTTCTTTCCTTTATCCAAAATCTTTCAACCTCTTTTTCAGGGTTACCTCTTTGGTCCTATTCTTTTCTGACCTTTTGATTTCCCTGACAGTCTAATGCCTCTTGCTTGAATAACCATAATGTATAGATGACAAAATCTGTTTTTCTCAGATGTCCCTCTTTCTTTTTGATCTACAATTGAGAACTGTCTTCTTCCAAATGGCTTTTTTTTTTTTTCGCTCTTACCTAACTGAATGCCTACATCCTCTTACCCAATCCTAGAGATTCATATAGACAGTTACATCAGATATTCTCATTCTCAGCTGCTGTAACTAAAAACCAAATTAAAAAATTCTGTGTGTTGGGGTACCTGGTGGCTCAGTTGATTGAGCATCTGTCTCTTGATTTTGGCTCAGGTCGTGATCTCAGGGTCATGAGATCAAGCCCTGTCAGGCCCCATGCTGGGTGTGGTGCTTGCTTGGGATTCTCTCTCTCCCTTTCCCTCTGTGACCCACTTCCCTATCCCCTGCTGGTGCATACTCTCTCACTGTTAGAGAAAAAAAGTTCTCTGTACCTCTTAAGTCTGCTCTTCTTACCTTTGATGCAGCCCTAACACCAGTCTTAATTGGTTCTTGTTTTGAATTTTAAGATGTTCTCACAAAATTGGTCTTCTCAATTTTATCTGCCCTGCTACCACTTTGTTCTCTGTTCTGTGGTCAGTTATACAAGTTTTTCCAGGCAAAGTGAATCATTCTTGCCCCTGCCTTTGCTGTGCTGTCATAATAGTATCATACACATTGCTGTTAGAGCACTTAATCGCATTTATTATAATTATTTGTATCTCTTTTCTACTTCTAGGTTATATTCTCTCTAGTGGTTGGAAAATAAATTATCCATTTCCTTTAGTGTTCATCCAATAGTTTTAAGTTAGGCCCCCATGTCCCCCATAAGTATTACCTTATTTAATTTTTCTGATGAGAACTCTTGTGTCATTTCATTATATGGCTAAAATGGCTATTTTAGGGCATAGTAAGTAATAAATATCCAAATTTATAAAATTTGTCATGTTTTAGCTTCTGTACATATTTGAATTTACTTTTTTATTCAAGTAAATGCTATTTTTCATTGCCAAACATAAAACAATAGATAAAACAGAAACACTTTTGGCATTTTCCAAAGTCTGAATAATAGGTTATCTATCGCCTCTGCTTTACTTAGAGCATTTGAAAGTTAATATTTTAGTTCTCAAAACTGAAGAGGCCTTGAAACAGACATACAAAGGAAATTAGTGCTTATTTGAGCATAGTTATTTGGATTTTTCTTGGTGTGTTTTTAGTATTCTGATCAGTGCTTTAAAATTATAAAACAACAGGCAGAATATTTAGTGGGAAAAACATATCAAAAAGAGATATTCTGTAATCTTTTGACGATATTAGCAAAAAGTGAATGATTCTTTTTTTGTATAAACATTTAATTTCATTAAGCTGATATATAGTAGACAAAATACTTGTGAAGAATTTCTAGAGTTGGGACAGATACCACAAAAGCAACTTTCATAATTTACTGATCTTTCAGTAAGTTTAGTCTAATTAAAATATTGTTTAAAGTCTGTTAATTTAGTTAGCAAATATTCACTGAGTCCTCACTATGTACCACTTGGAGAATGCAGCTGGGAATAAGGAAGACCTTGATCTTATGGAGCTCACACTTTAACTGGGGAAAAGACATAAGTAAATAAGAAAACATGAGGTGGTTATGAATGCTATGAAGGAAATAAATAGAGTTGTTGTACTAGAGAGTACATAGGGCCTACATAGACCTTTCAGAGGGGCTAGTATTTCAGCTGGGACATGATTGGTAACAGGTAGCGTTATGCCTGTCTGGGCAGACAATTATGACATGAAGACAGAACAACTAATTTGAAAGTGTTGAGATGGGAGTGGTTTGGGATTGGGGTTGGAGCACAGAAAGGGAAAGTAGAAGAAAACTGGGTTAGAGAGGTGAACATCACAAAGGGCCATGCAGGCTACACAAGGAAGTTGGAAGGTTTTAAGTTGGTCATAGCATAATCTTATTTATATTTTGAAAAGATCACTCTGTTGACTGTGTGGAGAATGGATTGTAGAGAGTCATGAGTATAGAGACTAGTTCATAGGCTATTGCAACAGTCTAGAAAAGATAAGTTGGTTGGTAGTAGTGGTAAAAGTGATGAGAGTTTGCATTAAGGATCTGTGTTGAAGGGTCTAGATGAACAGTTAGATAAGGAGGATGGGGAAAAGATGAAATTCTGAGAAATTCAAATGTCTATCAAGGTTATAGTTTTATCACTCAGTATTTATGACTTATGCATGGCCAGTTTTTCTTTGAGTTGAAAATAGATGAGAATTTCATTGGCATGTTTGTCTTAACTGTTTTTGCAAAACATGTGTCAAAGGGTGAAAAACTTGAGATTTGATTTTATTTACTTTTCTGGAAAAGTATCAAACTATCAGAATAAGCAAATTTTATAATATTGCATTGTAGATTAGTTTTTAAAATAAATGTTTGGGTGATTAACCAAGTGTATTTTCCCTCAGATTAATGTCCTTCAATCAAAAAGGAGATCAGAAATCCTAAAATCAGTAAGATATTTATTGAAATGATGTTTTCAACATTCTAATATGATCTAAGTGTACATATATAAGTGTTTAAAGCAGCATCATATGTGTGTGTATGTATGTTTTTATATACATGTAAATATATTTATTCCGGGTTCAGAATTAATCTTAGAGATCTTTTCATACTTCTCCTATGTCGCTTAACCAGTTTTTTGTCTCCTTCATGTTATAGTTACTTATGTCTTTCTCCTCTATTAACATGCATTTAAATACTTGAGATTGAGGGCATGTATAAATCGTATCATTTAGAGAATTTTTCTTGGCATTATTGATGATTTTATTAGCCTGTTGGTTGTTCTTTAGAGTGCTGTTTGAAAATAAAAGGTGATGAAATTTGAGGATAATGTTTTTCCCTGAGCCTCTATGCCCATTTTTTTTTGGATCTCCTTTAAAAAAAAAAAAATCTTAAAGCTAATGAGGAAGTAGACGGGGGATGGTAGTCGTATGGCATTGCATTCTTTCATATTTTGAGAACCTTAGAAATAATTTTTCCTCTCTGTTCACTGAAGTGTTTTGTTTTTCATCCTGAAAGGGTGTACATAAATTGCTTTTGTATCTTGTACTCACCTAGCTTTTTCCTAAATTCTATATTTATGTTATTTCTTATCAGGTAAGTACCTTGTACTTGCTCTTTACTGCCACTTCCCTTTCTAGATTGAGATTAATGTATGTTAATTGTAGAAAATTGAAAATTAAAATGTATGAAGAAAAAAGTTAAAATACTTACAAATCTTACTACTAAGGGAGAACTACTCTTAATATCTTGGCATATATCCACCTTTTCCCCTCTCTTTCTGTGAGCATGTATGTATGAATGTGTATATGTGTGTTTTAAAATTGCACATAATTTTTTAAAAATGAAATAGGAATCATTGATACATATGTTTTATAACTTTGTTCTTTTGATAGTAACTACAAAATCATCACGTCTTTAAATATTTTTTATTTTTAAAAAATTTTAATTAGTTTATTTTTAAAAGATTTTATTTATTAGAGAAAGTGAGAGAGAGCATGAGAGGGGAGAAGGTTGGAGAGAGAAGCAGACTCCTGGTGGAGCTGGGAGTCTGATGCTGACTCCAGGATCATGACTTGAGCCAAAGGCAGTCACTTAACCAACTCAACCACCCAGGAGCCCTAAATATTTTTTATTTAACGATGGGTTTCCTGCCCATATAGAATTCTACCATGTGAATATACTAGGTGTAGGCAACATTTTTTTTGTGAAGGGCCAGGTAGTGAATATGTTAGGTTTTGTGGACCATGTAGTTTCTGTTGTAATTATTTAACTGTGATGTTGTAATGAGAAAGCAGCCATAGACAATATATAAATGAATAGCATTACTACGTGTTAATAAGAATTTTTCTTATGGATGTGGAAAATTGAATTTCATACAGTCTTCACATGTCATGAGTTTCATGTTTTTTCATTGTCTCTCAACCATTTAAAAAATGTAAAAACCACTTTAGCTCATAGGCCATTCAAAAATAGGTGATAGGGCTGGATATAGTTTGCAGATCAATTAAATATGCCATAAATTAGGTTTATCCATTAATGGATTTCTAAGTAATTTCCATGTTTTTGATATTAAAGAATAGCACTATAGTGATCATTCTAATAAATAATATGATTATTTCCTTAGGATAGATTAAGACAAGAAATTATGTAGTCAGAGGGTTTAAGCATTTATTAAAACTTTAAAAAAATAATGGTAAATTTTAAGAGTTATACAACTTTTCCACTAGTAGTATGTGAAAGTGAACCATATTACGAACACTGGGTACTAATTTCTCCCACTCTACCTATAATTTGGTAGATAGAAAATGTCATGTCATATCATTGTTCAATTTTGCATATCTTTAATACAATGAGTTTGTATTAAATATGTGTGAGTTTGGATTTTTTTCCTGTATATTTTGGCCTCTGTGTTTCCTGTATTTTTGTTAGTCCTCTTTTTCATACTGATTTGTAACATCTTTTTATATTTTAAGACCATTAACCCTTTGTCATGTGTGTTTTCCTAGTTTATCATTCATCTTTTAATATGTTTATTATGTGTTTTGATGTACAGCATGTTTTGCATTTTTATGTAGTTGTAGCTATTAAACTTTCACCCTCTTTTTTGTATGTGTTTTTTATTATATTCATGAAGTTGCACAACTACTGTTAATCTAATTCCAGAATAATCTTTTATTGAGCTTTGTCCTTTTGTGTTTGTGTTTTATTTAATTGGTTTTCTCTTCAAAAAATTTTCTTTTGAAGCATTCTTGAATATTAAATTTTAAACTTCAGAATATTAAACAGATGCCTCATCTTGCTAAAAATAAACATGGGTGTTTGGAGGATTCTTTTTACTAATATTGAATTAAATTCCTAACCATGTAAAAACAAATAAAAATAAGGGTGATTTTTCTCTCATGAACAGGTAAAATATAGGAAAACTTGGAAAAAAATCTTAACCTGTTAGCAGCATTTTTGGATACTGGGAATGAATATGCAGAAACCTCCATATTGGAAAAGTCTGTTGACTCATTTTATTTCAGTGACTTGAGAAGGAAAATAATCACTCCCCTACTTTGGGCTGTGCTTAGTGATCCTAGTCAGTTGTAAGGTGTGATTTTTAATTTATATATATATATTTTTTATATTTTTAATTTATATTTCACCTTCTAATTTTCTTTCTTTCTTTTTTTTTTTTTTTTCAATTTAAAATTTTGCCAGGGAGTTTGGTTGAAAGGCATATAGATATTTTATAATGTTCGTGGGAAGATGGTGAAAGTATTGAAAACATGACTTTTTCTTTCAATTATTACCATATGAAGTTTGATTGTCTGGATATAGTCTAAACAACTAAAATTTGTTTTTTTTTTTTTAAATGTTAAACCACTTGGAGATTTCTTTTAAATATAACTTATTCTTGCTTCACAAATATTTCTGAACTACTCTTAAGAAAAATGACTTAATTTTAATTTTAAATAGGTTTGATATTTTGGGTTCTAATGGAATAATTTTTAAACATTAGATAAGATTAAGATTTTTAAAAATTTTGGAATATTTATCTAAGAATTGATTTTAAAATGCTAAACTTTTTTTTCTCTTACCAGATGTTATCTTTTATGTATGCCCATTTGGCCTTCTTCCATCAAGGGTATGATCTATTTAGTGAACTTGGGCCCTACATGAAGGATCTTGGTGCACAGGTAATATTGTACTGTATTGCTTAATTCTGTGTTATACATTGATATCTGTATCTTTTTTTCATTGAGATATAATATTGCATTAATTTAGGTGTATAAAATAATTTGAGATATATGTGTGTATCTTTTTTAAGATTTTATTTATTTGTCAGAGAGAGAGAGCATAAGCAGGCAGAATGGCAGGCAGACGCAGAGGGAGAAGCAGGCTCCCCGCTGAACAAGGAGCCTGATGTGGGCCCTGGGATCATGACCTACGCCAAAGGCAGCTGCTTAACCGACTGAGCCACTCAGGCATCCCGAGATATATGTGTGTCTTAGTACACACACACATATTTATAGTCAAATGACCAACTCAGAAGTCTAGTAAATACTTATTACTCCATATAGTTAAACATTTTTTTTCTTCTCTTCAGAACTTTTAAGATACGCTGTTGAGGGGTGCCTGGGTGGCTCAGTGGGTTAAAGCCTGTGCCTTCTGCTCAGGTCATGATCCCAGGGTCCTGGGATGGAGCCCCACATCAGGCTCTCTGCTCGGCGGGGAGCCTGCTTCCCCCCCCCCCGCCCCCCGCCTGCCTGCCTCTCTGCCTACTTGTGATCTCCGTCTATCAGATAAATAAATAAATAAAATCTATATTGGAAAAAAAAATATATATGTATACTGTTGAGTAACTTTCAAATATATGATATAGTAGTGTTAATTATAGTCACCATGCTGTACATTACATTCCCAGGAGTTTTTTGTTTTTTTTTTGTTTTTTTTTTGAATAGTATTTTATATATTTTTTTATATTTTTTAAAATTTTTTATAAACATATATTTTTATCCCCGGCGGTACAGGTCTGTGAATCGCCAGGTTTACACACTTCACAGCACTCACCATAGCACATACCCTCCCCAATATCCATAACCCCACCCCCCCTCTCCCAACCCCCTTCCCCCATCAACCCTCAGTTTGTTTTGTGAGATTAAGAGTCACTTATGGTTTGTCTCCCTCCCAATCCCATCTTGTTTCATTTACTCTTCTCCTACCCCCTTAACCCCCCATGTTGCATCTCCTCTTCCTCATATCAGGGAGATCATATGATAGTTGTCTTTCTCCGAATGACTTATTTCGCTAAGCATGATACCCTCTAGTTCCATCCACGTCGTCGCAAATGGCAAGATTTCATTTCTTTTGATGGCTGCATAGTATTCCATTGAGTATATATACCACATCTTCTTTATCCATTCTGTTGATGGACATCTAGGTTCTTTCCATAGTTTGGCTATTGTAGACATTGCTGCTATAAACATTTGGGTGCACGTGCCCCTTCGGATCACTGTGTTTGTATCTTTAGGGTAAATACCCAGCAGTGCAATTGCTGGGTCATAGGGTAGTTCTATTTTCAACATTTTGAGGAACCCCCATGCTGTTTTCCAGAGTGGTTGCACCAGCTTGCATTCACACCAACAGTGTAGGAGGGTTCCCCTTTCTCCGCATCCTCGCCAGCATCTGTCATTTCCTGACTTGTGAATTTTAGCCATGCTGACTGGTGTGAGGTGATATCTCATTGGGGTTTTGATTTGTATTTCCCTGATGCCAAGTGATATGGAGCACTTTTTCATGTGTCTGTTGGCCATCTGGATGTCTTCTTTGCAGAAATGTCTGTTCATGTCTTCTGCCCATTTCTTGATTGGATTATTTGTTCTTTGGGTGTTGAGTTTGCTAAGTTCTTTATAGATTTTGGACACTAGCCCTTTATCTGATATGTCATTTGCAAATATCTTCTCCCATTCTGTCAGTTGTCTTTTGGTTTTGTTAACTGTTTCCTTTGCTGTGCAAAAGCTTTTGATCTTGTTGAAGTCCCAGTAGTTCATTTTTGCCCTTGCTTCCCTTGCCTTTGGCGATGTTCCTAGGAAGAAGTTGCTGTGGCTGAGGTCGAAGAGGTTGCTGCCTGTGTTCTCCTCCAGGATTTTGATGGATTCCTTTCTCACATTGAGGTCCTTCATCCATTTTGAGTCTATTTTCATGTGTGGTGTAAGGAAATGATCCAATTTCATTTTTCTGCATGTGGCTGTCCAATTTTCCCAACACCATTTATTGAAGAGGCTGTCTTTTTTCCATTGGACATTTTTTCCTGCTTTGTCGAAGATTAGTTGACCATAGAGTTGAGAGTCTATTTCTGGGCTCTCTATTCTGTTCCATTGATCTATGTGTCTGTTTTTGTGCTAGTACCATGCTGTCTTGATGATGACAGCTTTGTAATAGAGCTTGAAGTCCGGAATTGTGATGCCACCGACTTTGGCTTTCTTTTTCAATATTCCTTTGGCTATTCGGGGTCTTTTCTGGTTCAATATAAATTTTAGGATTATTTGTTCCATTTCTTTGAAAAAAATGGATGGTACTTTGATAGGAATTGCATTAAATGTGTAGATTGCTTTAGGTAGCATAGACATTTTCACAATATTTATTCTTCCAATCCAGGAGCATGGAACATTTTTCCATTTCTTTGTGTCTTCCTCAATTTCTTTCATGAGTACTTTATAGTTTTCTGTGTATAGATTCTTAGCCTCTTTGGTTAGGTTTATTCCTAGGTATCTTAGAGTTTTGGGTGCAATTGTAAATGGGATTGACTCCTTAATTTCTCTTTCTTCTGTCTTGTTGTTGGTGTAGAGAAATGCAACTGATTTCTGTGCATTGATTTTATATCCTGACACTTTACTGAATACCTGTACAAGTTCTAGCAGTTTTGGAGTGGAGTCTTTTGGGTTTTCCACATATAGTATCATATCATCTGCAAAGAGTGATAATTTGACTTCTTCTTTGCCGATTGGGATGCCTTTAATTTCCTTTTGTTGTCTGATTGCTGAGGCTAGGACTTCTAGTACTATGTTGAATAGCAGTGGTGATAATGGACATCCCTGCCGTGTTCCTGACCTTAGCGGAAAAGCTTTCAGTTTTTCTCCATTGAGAATGATATTTACGGTGGGTTTTTCATAGATGGCTTTGATAATATTGAGGTATGTGCCCTCTATCCCTACACTTTGAAGAGTTTTGATCAGGAAGGGATGCTGTACTTTGTCAAATGCTTTTTCAGCATCTATTGAGAGTATCATATGGTTCTTGTTCTTTCTTTTATTAATGTGTTGTATCACATTGATTGATTTGCGGATGTTGAACCAACCTTGTAGCCCTGGAATAAATCCCACTTGGGGGGAGCCTGGGTGGCTCAGTGGGTTGAGGCCCCTGCCTTCGGCTCGGGTCGTGGTCTTGGGATCCTGGGATCGAGCCCCGCGTTGGGCTCTCTGCTCGGCGGGGAGCCTGCTTCCCCCTCTGTCTCTCTGCCTGCCTCTCTGCTTACTTGTGATCTTTCTTTCTGTCAAATAAATAAATAAAATCTTTAAAAAAAAAAAAATCCCACTTGGTCGTGGTGAATAATCCTTTTAATGTACTGTTGAATCCTGTTGGCTAGTATTTTGGTGAGAATTTTTGCATCTGTGTTCATCAAGGATATTGGTCTGCAGTTCTTTTTTGATGGGATCCTTGTCTGGTTTTGGGATCAAGGTGATGCTGCCCTCATAAAATGAGTTTGGAAGTTTTCCTTCCATTTCTATTTTTTGGAACAGTTTCAGGAGAATAGGAATTAGTTCTTCTTTAAATGTTTGGTAGAATTCCCCCCGGAAGCCGTCTGGCCTCCCAGGAGTTATTTATTTTATTTTATTTATTTATTTTTATTTATTTATTTATTTTTTAAAAAGATTTTATTTATTTATTTGACAGACAGAGATCACAAGCAGGCAGAGAGAGAGGAGGAAGCAGGCTCCCTGCTGAATAGAGAGCCCGATGCGGGGCTTGATTCCAGGACCCTGAGATCATGACCTGAGCTGAAGGCAGAGGCTTTAACTCACTGAGCCACCCAGGCGCCCCGAGTTATTTATTTTATAACTGGAAATTTGTACCTTGTGATGACCCCCTTTACTCATTTTGTCTCACTCATCCCCCACCTCTGGCAAATTCTAGTCTGTTCTCTGTATCTATGAATTTGATTTTTCGTTTTTGCTTTTTTTTTTTGGATTCCACATGTGAATGAAATCATGTGGTATTTGTCCTTCTCTGCTTGACTTCTTTCACTTAGCATAATGCCTTCAGGGTCCATCTCTGTTGTTGCAAATGGCAAGATTTCCTTTGCTTTTTTTTTTTCTTTTTTTTAAGATTTTATTTTTATTTATTTGACAGAGATCACAAGTAGGCAGAGAGGCAGGCGGAAACAGGCTTCCTGTGGAGCAGAGAGCCCGATGTGGGGCTTGATCTCAGGACCCTGAGATCATGACCTGAGCTGAAAGCAGAGGCTTAACCCACTGAGCCACCCAGGCGCCCTCCTTTGCTTTTTAAATGGCTGAATAATAGTTCCTTATGTATATATAAACCATATTTTCTTATCTGTTCATTTATTGACGCTTAGGTTGTTTCTGTATCTTGGCTATTATAAATAATGCAGTTAACATGGGGATGTGGATATCTTTTCAAATTAGTGTCTTTGTTTATGTTGAACATATGTAGAAGGGGCATTGCTGGAACATATGGTAGTTCTGTTTTTAGTTTTTTGAGGAATCTCCATATTGTTTTCCATTGTGGCTGCACCAATTTATATTCCCACCACTGGTACACTTTTCTCCACATCCTCACCAACACTTGTGATTTCTTATCTTTTTGATGACAGGCATTCTGACAGGTAATATCTTATTGTGGGTTTTAATTTGCATTTTCCTGAGGATTAGTGATGTTGAGCACCTTTTCATGTACCTTTTGGCTACCCGTTTTTCACATTTGGAGAAATGTCTCTTCAGATCCTCTGCCCATTTTTAAAACAGAATGTTTGGGTGTTTTGTTTCATTTTGTTTTTTGCTTTAAAGTTGTATGAGTTCTTTTTTTTTTTTTTTTTAAGATTTTATTTATTTATTTGACAGACAGATCACAAGTAGGCAGAGAGGCAGGCAGAGGCGGAGTTGGCGGGGGGGGCGGG